TTTTTTAAAGCAAGTTAGTGTCCTTTTAGGCTTCCTCCCCTTGAGTAGAGTTCACACACACACACACACACACACACACACACACACAAATGTATGTATTTAGTATCACAATCCCTGGTATGCCCAAATATGGGAGGAAGCCTACTACTTGTACTTGTACTTGTACTTGACGCCTCTTCACCCAACGTGGGTATAGGCGACTTCCATGGAAATTTGACACCACTGTATACGGCGATCCATGGAAGCTGTTTCGGCTGGATATACCCAAGGGGACGCCAGTCCCAAGGGTCGACAGAGCCCGATTGGTGGGAACGGGGCCCTTTACCGATAGATCCCTAGAGACACAGAAGAAGCAAAGCCAATTATAAAGGTTTCCATGGAAAACAGCATAGGTAACATTCCCTTTTTCCCTGTTAGCCCCCACCCCCTGCCTCATCCATTGTCCACCGATTCGACATGTTCTTTGTGTTTTGAGAAACAGTCTGTGCAGTTTGAAAGGTTCTCAGAACGTGACCTTGAAGTGTCCCTGTCCCTCCCGATTTCCCTAAGAATTCCACCCCCTCCCTTCAGTTTCTGCTATTGAGCTGCGAGAATTACAGGTACCGATAGAATCCGAGTCGGCCTTGACACTGGTCTTCCCCAACCTCATATTTTCCGGAGTGTTTGGAGTTCAACGCTCATGGCCAACCCATCTGGAAGAAATGTCTTCCCTTAATTTCTGTCCCCAGTTAAATGCAGAATACAGCATAACAGTGTTGGAAGGGACCTTGGAGGTCTTCTAGTCCAACCCCTTGCTCAAGCAGGAGACCCTGCATACACCATTCCAGACAAATGTCTGTCCAATCTCTTCTTAAAGGCCTCCAGTGATGGAGCACCCACAGCTTCTGGTGGCAAGCCGTTCCACTGCTTAAACCTGACTCCATGTTTTCACCCCGCCCCCCACCCCACCCTTTTATCTTTCCTAAACAGTTATGCCTGTATTTCTTCATCCACCTCAAGATACAGTTGCAGAAGTCGGCCAAGACATTGAAATCCCTTGTACCGCCCAAGGGGAGCCACAGCCAACGATAACGTGGTCGAAGGTCGGATGGTTTATCACTTAACACAAGCAGTATCGGCTTTTGTGTAGGGCTGGGAGCAATGGTGGGATTCAATTTTTTTTACTACCGGTTCTGTGGGCGTGGTTTAGTGGGCGTGGCAGGGGAAGGAAAGTTACTGCAAAATCCCCATTTCCTCCCGATCAGCTGGGACACTGTATATCAGTGTTTCTCAACCTCATCTGCTTCAAGATGTATGGACTTCAATTCCCAGTATTCCCGAGCCAGCGTTTCTGAAATCACCAGGCTAGAAACCAGGAGTTCTAGTCCCACCTTAGGCATGAAAGCTGACTGGGTGACTCTAAGCCAATCACAGAAGACGTGTGAGTTCTAATCCCGCCTCAGACACCAAAGCTGGCTGGAAGACTTTGGGTCAGTCCCTCAGCCCAACCCACCTCACAGGGTTGTTGTTGTTGTGGGGACAATAGGATGAAGAAGGAGGATTAGGTATGTTTGCCACCTCGAGTTGTTTATAAAAGTAATAAAGGCGGGATATAAATTAAATAAATTGGAGAGGTGAATAGAATTTGCTCCTCCTTCAGAATAACACATCCCCCATCAGAAGCCCACATCCAATGTCTCCCAGCCAGAGATGGTATCCAGCAGGTTCTGACCAGTTCTGAAGAACCGGTAGCGGAAATTTTGAGTAGTTTGGAGAACCAGCAAATGCCACCTCTGGCTGGCCCTGCCCCATCTATTCTCTGCCTCCCAAGTCCCAGCTGATTGGGAGGAAAGGGGGATTTTGCAGTAACCTTCCCCTGGGATGGGGTGGGAATGGAGATTTTATAGTTTCCTTCCCCAGGAATGGGGAGGGAACGGAGATTTTGCAGTATCCTTCCCCTGGAGTGGGGAGGGAACAGAGATTTTGCAGTATCCTTCCCCTGGAGTGGGGAGGGAATGGAGATTTTGCAGTATCCTTCCCCTGGAGTGGGGAGGGAACAGAGATTTTGCAGTATCCTTCCCCTGGAGTGGGGAGGGAATGGAGATTTTGCAGTACCCTTCCCCTGGAGTGGGGAGGGAATGGAGATTTTGCAGTATCCTTCCCCTGGAGTGGGGAGGGAATGGAGATTATACAGTATCCTTCCCCTGCCACACCCACCAAGCCACACCCACAGAACCGGTAATAATTTTTTTTGAATCCCATCACTGATCCAATCCTTTCCCAGGTAGTTCTCGTTACAATATAGGGAGTCCTCAACTTACAACAGTTCATTTAGTGACTGCTAAAACGGGACCAAAAAAAAACTGATTTATGACCAGTGGTGGGATTGAAATAATTTAACAACTGGTTCTCTGGTTTATTCCAACAACTAGTTAATCAAACTGCTCAGAAAGTTAACAACCGGTTTTCCCAAAGTGGTGCAAACTAGCTGAATCCCACCACTGTTTATGACCCTTTTTCACCGTTACGACCTCTGCAACATCTCCATGATCACGTGATCAAAATTCAGATGCTCGGCAACTGGTTCATATATATTACCATTGCTGTCTCCCGGAGTCCTGTGATCCCCTTTTGCGACCTTCTGACAAGCAAAATTGATGGGGAAGCCAGATTCACTTAACAACCGGGTTACTAATTTAACAAATGCAGTGATTCACTTAACAACTGTGGCAAGACAGGTCACAAAATGGGGCAAAAGTCACTCTACAAATGTCTCACTTTACAACAGAAATTTTGGGCTCAATTTTCGAGGATTACCTGTAGTTTGTTTAGTGACCATTCAAAGCTACAGGGGCACTGAAAAAAGTGACACAACTGTTTTTCACACTTACGAAGGATTGAGCATGCCTGTGTCACATGATCAAAATTTGGCCGCTTGGCAACTGACTCATATTTATGACAGTTGGCAGTTGCAGTGTCCCAGGTGATCTCCTTTTGCGACCTTCTGGCAAGCAAAATCAAGGGAGACGCTGGATTCACTTAACAACCATGTTATTAATTTAACAACTGCAGTGATTCGCTTAACAACTGTGGCGAGAAAGGTCTTAAAACGGGACAAAACTCACTTTAACAACCGTCGGGCTTAACCAGAGAAATCTTGGTCTCACTAGTGATCATAACTCAAGTGCTACCAGATTTATATTCTGTTGGTGAAACAAATTAATAAATTAAATAAAGCCCGTGGCTCTACTTGTGGATGCCATTTTGACTTTTTTGACCTTGGTGGATGACTGTGGACCAGATCGTGGTCTCCCCACCAGAGAGAATCCTATTCATGATCCAGATTCTCCCCCCCCCCTTTTTCTACACCAGGACCGGATTCAGATCACAGAGAGTGGCAAGTTCCACATCAGCCAGGAAGGCACTTTATCCATCCGGGATTTGGGTCTGGCAGATCAAGGACAATACGAATGCATAGCCAGGAGTAGCTCGGGGCTAACCACCAGTACCATGCAGCTAACCATCATCGGTAAGAGCAAAAGAGACATTCTTCCTTCAAAACTGAGTTTGTTTCGTTTTTGCCTAGAAGGGAAGGTGGGAGGGAGACTTCTAACTTCTAATGCCAAGGAGAGAGCGAGCGTCAAAATGTTAACAAGGTAACAAAAGACCCAGCCACCTCTCTTTTTACCTGTATTGTAAGTGATTGTGCAGAGAAAGAGACAGGGCTTTGATTGTATAATTGTGGTTATCTTTCACATTAAGTGAAAGATCATGTCAACACGAATTACGGTTTCACCGTTGTCTCCTCCATTAACTGTTTTGTCGCAAAGGGAGATCATGTGACCATGAGATGCTGCGTTGACTAAATCCAAGAATTGGTGGCAAAGTTGTTTTTTTTAAATGAAGTTTTTTTATTTGTTTTCAATTTTTTAAAAAAACATAAACATTCCATCTTTCCATAAGCAGTGTGTCGTCTGGGTACGTATTTCTTCCCTAAATTATAATACATTGAATATTTAGAACATTATAAAACTCTATATTTCCTTCTTAACGTATATTCTAATAAAAGTACAACAATAACATTAAACATCATTATTTTCATAATATTGGCACCAACAATTGTCCTTTAACTCTTATCTCTATTTTGCTATATTTTCTATTCTTTTTTTAACCCTCTTCTATTTCCAATTTCCTTTTTTATTCTCTAACCATTGAAAGAACACTTCCCATATCACAAAACAATCAGTGCTTTCTCCTTAATTGCCAATGTTAATCTACTCATTCCTGCAAAATTGGTTTTATTCAGCTGTTGTAACCATGAATAGTCATTGCATTGCAATAGCAATAGCAGTTAGACTTATATACCGCTTCATAGGGCTTTCAGCCCTCTCTAAGCGGTTTACAGAGTCAGCATATCGCCCCCACAGTCTGGGTCCTCATTTCACCCACCTTGGAAGGATGGAAGGCTGAGTCAACCCTGAGCTGGTGAGATTTGAACCGCCGAACTGCAGAACTAGCAGTCAGCTGAAGTGGCCTGCAGTACTGCACCCTAACCACTGCGCCACCTCGGCTCTGCATTACCTACAAGCTGTTGAGATCCTAGTCAAATGAGCCTCTTGCTTAATTTTCATGAATCCTTTAAACTAATTACATTCTTATTCTTTTCTTTTCTTTTCACCGGGAAAACAAAGCCACGAACATCGGAAGGAGCGGCGATACCTTTGTAGCCACCTCCATCCAGGAAGCCATCAGCAGTGTGGACTTCGCCATCAATTCGACACGCACCGAACTGTTCAGCAAGTAAGACTATCAGGAATGCCATAAACATTGAATGAGATTTGTTGCCACGCTGCACATCAGGTGGATGCAACAGGTAACAATCAACCATTGAGTCACCGGTGCTGTCTGAGCTTGGTTGTTTTCTTGCAGACATTTGATTACCTAACTAGATAATATCATCAGTGCTTCAGGGGTATGGACTTTGGTCTTTGTTTATATACAATTGGCTTGCCCTGTCAGAATAGGAGTGTTCTTGGTGGTTCCTTGATTAGGCTGTCTTTACTGTTTGTTTGTTTGATTGATTGTTTGATTGATTGATTGTTTGAGTTGGTAGTTTCTTGATTGTGGAATTGTATACTGTTTGATTGTTTGTCTAGTATTAACAGAGGTGGGTTCCTACCAGTTCGCACCTATTCGGTAGAACCGGTTCGTCAAATCTACCGAACCGGTTAGAAGAGGTTCCACCAGTGGACCCGGAAAGCAGGCCACACCTACAGAAGAGGTTCCAAACTTTTTTGAAACCCACCACTGGTCCTTGGATAGGATTATTCTACACTATCATGCTCATATTTATAAAACTCAGTGCCTCTGTGAAAGGGAAGGATGACTACTGCGTTTATGGTGCAATCAGAACATTGTGTGTGTTGAAGTTGTTTTAACGCAAACCAAAGATGCCTTTTAAAAAACAAGTTTACATCATATTCTCATGCAGGCCAGTGCTGTGTGTGAGGTAATTTAAGGTGGTTCTGACAAGTGTCGTCGGCATCTTCATATCCGGTCACATGGGTGGCAAGCCACTCCCATCCGCTCACATGGGTGGCAAGCCACTCCCACAAAGGAGGCCACACCCACAGAGTGGGTTCGAACAATTTTTGAAACCCACCACTGAGTATTAATCATGGTGTTCTCTGTTCATCTGCATGTTGATTGCTTGCAAGGAGATGTTCTGCGGGTTTTGTTTCCCTTTTGGAGCTTTGATTGTCTCTTTTAAATAGTATGAAGATGTTGTTTATCTCTATGTGCCTGTTAATGGTTGATTCAACGGAGTGCCAGGCTCCCCAGAATTCTCACAGTTGCTCACCGTTTCCCACTTAATGTCCATGTGTTGTGCAATTAAGGATGTCTTCTGACTGCTAGTTCATCCATGTGTCCTGTTAGTGTTCTGCCTGCCTGTCCTACATAGTGGTTGTTACAATCCCTTCTAAGCATCTTCTAAGCACTGAGGATATTACCTAGTTTGGGTAATGAAATGTCTGCAAGAAAATAACCAAGTTCAGAGAGCACCAAGGACTCCACAGTTGAACACTGAACTGCAAATATACTCTTCTATTGGTAACAACCAACCAGTCAGGAAATTAATTGGGGAAAAAAATATTACAATGCAGAAATCGAAGTTTGCAAGATATGATGAGCCGCTAAAAGGATCACATTCTGTGCCTCCCAAACAGGAGACCCAAAACACCGAACGAATTGCTGGCCCTTTTCAGATATCCACGAGACCCTGATACCATCGAGACCGCTCGGGCTGGAGAAATCTTTGAGAGAACCCTGCAGCTCATTCAGGATCACGTCCAGCAAGGATTATTTGTGGACATGAATGGAACGGGTATAAAGTGGGAATAGTCCCCCTGCTTTTTTTTTTAGTCGTAAGGATATACTCCAGGAAAATAAAAACTGATTTCGTTTTTTCTTGCTAAGTGGTTAGCAGGAACACCAGAGCGCCCTGTAAAATTCAGTGGGCATTTCCTATATTCTAGGCCAGGGGTCGGCAAACTTAAACACTCAAAGAGCCATTTGGACCCGTTTCCCATAGAAAAGAAAACACAGGGAGCCACAAAGGTCCTAACCAAGGTGGCGCAGTGGTTAAATGCAGCACTGCAGGCTACTTCAGCTGACTGCAGTTCTGCAGTTCGGCTGTTCAAATCTCACCGGCTCAGGG